CTTACCTTCCAGTAACCTATCCCAGGAGACTTTCCCCAGTCTGGCCTTCAGCTGGCCAAAGTTGGCCCTCTTGAAGTCCCAGCTTCTAGTGCTCGACCTGCTGCACATCCCCAGTCCCCTGATCTCAAAGCAAAGGATGGAGTGATCACTCGCATCCAGAGCTCCCCTGCTCTGTACTTCATCTATCAGCTCCTCCCTATTGGTCAAGATCAAGTCAAGGATGTTTCCCCCCTGTCGTTGCCTCTCGCACCCTCTGTGTGAAAAACCCTCCCTCTATAGCTTCTAGGAAGTGACGTGACCTGGCTGTCACTGCCGAGTGAGTCTCCCAAGTAATATCTGGGAGGTTGAAATCTCCCATAATTACTGTGTCTCTCCCCTGAGATATCCTTAGAATCTGGCCTGTCAGGACATCCTCCAGGGTCTCAAGTTGACCTGGAGGGCGATAACATGCCCCCACTGTCAGGTCTCTTTCCCTGTCAAAACCCCGAAGTTTCACCCAGACTGCCTCCACCGAATCCCCATCTGTGCTGCATTCTGTCTCACTGCATCCTATCCCTTCCCTGATGTATAAAGCCATGCCCCCACCTCTCTTTCCCTTCCTGTCCTTTCTAAAAAGGTGATACCCTTCCATGTTCACATTCCAGACTTTCATCCCACTAAGTTTCTGTGATTCCCACCAGATCATACCCTCCTATTCCCAGGAGAACTTCAAGCTCTTCCTGCTTATTACCCATGCTCCTAGCATTGGTGTACATGCACCTCAACTCCTTCCCACCGTTTCCCTTCCTTGGAGTTCCCAGCCTCCTCCTTCCTCCCTGATACCTGGCCCCTCTCTGGAGGAGTCCTGTCAGTCCCTGCAGTATCTCTAAAACCCTGCTCCCAGAGCCCTGATCCTCCCCCCACACTTGTCCAGTGCAGACACGTTCCTGGGTGGCCTGAACCACCCCCCCACCCCCACCCCCCGGCTCAATTTAAAGTCTTCCGGACGAAACTCGCTAGAGCATCTCCAAAGGACCTTTTCCCCATCCTCATGAGATGTAACCCGTCCCTTGCCAGAAGTCCATTGGCAAGAAAACGAGTGCCATGGTCGAGGAACCTTGTACTGTTATCACAACAGTACAAACTGCAGAAGTTGCCCTCTTAGCCATGCAAAGTATCTATAGATAGTTGCCTTTGAATTACATTCATGGTTTCCATGCCCAAGCGGAATGCAGTGGTTCTGATTCAATTTTAAAAGCTATTCCAGCCAATCATTTTGCCAACTCCAGCCAACTCCTCCTATATATGCAGGAGTGAACTTTGGCTTCAGGTTTACCTTTGACAAAATGGTAAGCTTACAAACGTCTCTCTCCTCCAGCCTTGCCAATTACCTTTGTCTGCCTCCTCGATCACTTTCAGTCTCCCAGAAATCCACTCAAATTTGCACCTCATTGAGAAATACATCTCAAGCAACGTCTCCTCACTCTATGCAGCCTTTATAGACCTCAAGGCAGCTTTTGATTCCATCTTGAGGGTCAAACTATGGAAAAAATTAGAGGCCTCCAACACTGATAGGCACCTGCTCCTACTTATTCAGACCCTGTGCAGAGGCACCTCCCTCAAGGTCAGATTCCGTGAACATGGTACCTCACAAATGCTGTTCCAACACAAAAAGGGGTTAAGCAAGGCTGTATTCTTGCTCCACTCCAGTTCAATTTCTATATCAACTCATTGGTCGACCAGTTAAATCACATCGATCTTCACCCCCACCCCAAAATCACAGGGAGGCATATAACTGTACTATTATATGCAGATGATGCATCTATTATTTCAAGGACTCCAACTGGGCTCACAAGAGCACTGCAGAAGCTGACTGAATATTGCAAGGAAGAAGATCTGGCAATCAAGTACCAAAAAACAAAAACCATGACCTTTGCAAAAAGACCAAAAACTCAACCATGGAAGATAAATCAGCCCAAGATCGAGCAGGTTTCCCAGTTCAAATATTTAGGTGTAGTCCTACAAGCAAATGGCTCCAGGAAGGCTCGTGGCAAATATGTGGCACTAAATGCCCAGAGAAGCTCGTCAGCCATAATACAATTCATGAGATCCAAAGGTGGCCATGACATCCCCCGAGCCCTCCAACTAGACCAAGCAAAAGTACCATCTCAACTACTGTATGGATCTCAGTTGGGGCCTTTCCCAAGTACTACAACTTGTCCAATCAAAATTTCTGAGGGCAATACTGGGTGTTCCTAGGGATGTCTCCAGTGCAAAGATAAGATTGGAGACTGGTCAGATCCAAATTGCAGCCAGGATCTGGGGGGCCATTCCTGTGCACCGGCTCAAATTGGTATACTTTCCAGCTGGTCTTGCTCCACTAATCCTGCAGGACGACTTCAAATCCAACTGGATTAAATCAATCGAGCACAAAGTAGCCCTTTGGGCCTCTCCCTGTCGACTGTACTAAATATGGGTTTTGAACAGGCAATGGAAACCATCAAGCAGCGTATTGAAGATATTGAAAGACAAAGCGACTTCAATAGAGCCCCTGAATTCTATCTTAGGGAGGACTATAGACATATCTTAATAGCTGCATCCTATCTCAAACAGTTGGAACTCCATAAACACAGAAAGGCTTTTTCCTTGGCCCAACTTAATGGACTCCCTTCAGCGGATTTGGAAGGACGGTACAAAAAGATCCCCTGGTCAGAGTGCCTCTGCCCCTGTGGGATGGAACAGACAGAAACTACAGAGCACATCCTGCTGAGGTCCACATTCTACAGGGATAGTCACACTGCACTCATTTCCCCACTGGTGAATCGCTTCCTGGGCCGTACAGAACAGCAATATAGTTATATATTGCTGTCTGACACTAACCCAACAATAACATACAATGTTGCCAAATTCTTTGTGGCTGTGGTGGGTGTCTAAAGACAGATCCTCGGGGATTGTGGCTCTACCTAGTCGAACAAGAACAAAGTCTGGGATTGTCATCAATTTACAATGAATGATATTGTGTTAAAGCATTTATTAATCTGAGTGGGGTTTTAATATAGATGATGTTTTACGTATTTACAGTTTTAATCTATGTATTTATTGAATGGAGCTGGTCTTTGACCGAAATAAAGTTTATCTAATCTAATGCAGGAGTGAACTTTGGCTTCAGATTTACCTTTGACAAAATGGTGGGCTTACAAACGTCTCCTCCAGACTTGCCAATTGCTTGCATTGAGCTAATCAGAAGATCAAAAGATGCTTCTGCAGGACTAACAGACATGGAGTGCGGGGACTTCATCCCGGGAAGCAAACATGAAACTGAGCGGATCTGACCATTTCCATTCCATGCTGTGTCTCCTTTTTCAGGCCTTAATTAGTGCTAGTATAATATAACCCTAATTAAGAAACCTGAAATTCTCATGAGGATAGGTGGTGTCTTTGTTTTATTTGTGGGTGGGAGAATATGTGATTCTGAATGGATAGACAATAGGCAAATTGTTTGAAAGTGGCTTATATGCAGAGCACATCATGCAAAAGGCCAGGCTAGATGAATCACAAGTCGGAATTAAGATTGCCAGGAGAAATATCAACAAACTCGGATATGCAGGCAATCCCACTCTAATGGCAGAAAGTGAAGAGGAACTAAAGAGTCTCTTGATGCGGGTGAAAGGGGAGAGCACAAAAGTTGGCTTGAAACTCAACATTAAGAAAACAAAGATCATACCATTCATTTTTGCCTAGCACAGTATTTGCCTATCACTTCCTGGCAAATAGATGGGGAAGAAATGGAGGTAGTGACATATTTTATTTTCCTGGGCTCCAAGATCACCGCAGATGGGGACTGCAGCTAAGAAATTGAAAGACGCTTGCTCCTTGGGAGGAAAGCTGTGGCAAATCTAGACAGCATACTAAAAAGTAGACACATCACCCTGCCGACAAAATTTCATACAGTCAAAGCTATGGTTTTCCCAGTTGCAATGTATGGCTGTGAAAGTTGGACCATAAGGAAGGCTGAGCGCCAAAGAATTGAGGCCTTTGAATTGTGGTGCTGGAGAAGACTCCCAAGAGTCCCTCTTGGGCTGCAGTGAGACCAAACCAGTCAATCTTAAAGGAAATCAAGCCAGACTACTCTTTAGAAGGCCAGGTACACAAGATACTTGACCTAAATACTTGGGTCACCTAATGAGAAGGAAGGACTCACTGGAGAAGACCCTGATGCTGGGAACAATGGATGGCAAAAGGAGAAGGGGACAGCAGAGGATGATGTGGCTGGATGAAGTCACTGGGGCAGCGGGTGTGGGCGTGGGTGGACTCCAAGGGATGGTGGAGAACAGGAGAGCCTGGAGGAATGTTGTGCATGAGGTCGTAATGGGTTGGGCACAACTTTGCAACTAACAACAACCACAACCACAACAACATGAAAATGGCTTAGATTGAACAAGAACCCTGCACAATTTAGGGAGCTGATGAATGAAAAGCCATATTAGACACTTATATTTTCTGATAATTTGGCATCAATATCATAGAAAAACCAAGAGGACAGGGCTGATGTGGTGCATACAGTGTCAAAGATAGGCAGACATGAACATGCAGCCTTTTCCAATCAAACCCTTGATGTTACACCCTCCCGCGTTCCATAGACCCCAGCAAAACTCTTTTGACATACCTGCTCCTGGTAGAGAGAAGTGGCAAGAAGCACTGAACACCACATCAGTCCTGTGATGCATCACTTTCAATATCCCTCCTGCAAAACAGTGGGATCAGAGAGCCTTGGGAAACCCCTCCACTGTGATTGGAAGCCAGAGCTGTCAATCACAGAACTTCCCCCTTGCTCTTTTTTCCACCCTGGTAATTTTCTTTATTTGCAGAACTTGGGGAGAAATCTGAACTTTTTTAACCCCTCAGGTGTTATACTCCCAGGAACAAAGGGAGTATGAATCTCATATCTGAGTTAGATTTCAAAACAAGGCACTCTTTAATGACAGGCTTAGAGATGTTGTTGTTTTTATTTTTATTTGTGCTAAGGATATGGATTCAAGGCAACGCTTGAAACGAGAAGGGCCAATGTGGCAGACAAAGCCAAATGGGTGCGGCAGGAGTGCGCACCCTGATCCTCCTTCACTGCTTCTCCTGACTTCTCCCATCAGGCACACATAGCTCTCCTTCAGGCCACATCCTCTGCGCGTTCCTCGAATGCTTGCCAGCTGCAGAGGCTGATGCGGTTCTTTGAAGCACTGCTAGATGTTCTGCAGGAAACAGAAAGAAATGTCTCTATTAACAGCCTGGGCTGGCCCTACCACAAGCCACCAAGACAAGTCCAGAGCATATTTAGGACAGGAGATGCGCGTGCTGACTAGCTGTGCTTTTATACTCAGCACCAGAATGGGATGTAACTGGTGTCTAGAGGGGTTTGGAGTGAAGGAATCTGACTTGTGGGTTTTATCAAGAGTTTGTTTTCAGCATTTTCTCACTTACACAAATCCAGCTCAAAAATCCAGCTCAAATTGTGAGGATCGTGACATGCCAACACTGTTGTCGGCTTCACAGTGGTAAGCAGCGGAATCCTCTAATTTCATTTCCTGGATGATCAGAAAGGCAGCTGCTGAGTCCAGCTTGAGCTGTTGTCCATCCTTGTACCATGTATAGGTAAGGTTGTAGGGGTTTGCTCTTTCCACTTTACAGCTCATCTTAAAAGACTGGCCCACCATCGGCTTCTTTGGCTCTGGCACAATGATCACTTCCATAGGGGGAACTGCAGGGAGCGAGAAACACAGAAGAAACAATGCGTAGTAACCCACCTCTTTCAGCACTTCCACTCTCTCAAGAGACAAACCAGCTACGGTTCTGCCATATGCTGTTCCATTGCAGCTAAGCCAAGCTGCCCATCACAGCAATCTTAGGACTCACAATCCATGTTTATCAATATTTATTTAGTGAATAAATATAATACATATAATACAGAGGGTCCAACAGAGGAATGAATAAGGATTTGAATGTCCTAATTGGAGTGTCACTTTGACATCTCTAGCAGAGGATTCAGTCGAGTTCAGGTTATGCCTGATTCAACAAGCACTTTTGTTTCTCAGTTGTTGGGCATCACAATGACTCCTTCATAAGGCTTCATCGGAATCAGCTGACTGCCTGGATATAATACTGCCAATGCTCCTTTCGGTCCAATGCTTTGACAATGTTTAGTCATCTCTTTTTGGGTGGAAGTTATAATACGGATACATTTTGTATTGGAACCCCCTTCAGTACTTGCTGATGCACCACCACTCGTCCGCTCCCGCTTCAGAAAACAGCAGCAGCCAGAAGCACAGAAGTCAGGCAAAAGGGCAAGGGTGGCATAGAAGGGCAGGAGGAGCACAAGGAGCCCCCCAGCTTCCCCCAGCCAGGCAGCAGCAGAAGCTGCTGAGGAAGATGAATGTGCAGGGTGCACCCATGAGGTGGCAGCATCCAGTGCCGCCCCAGATCAGCAACTGCCGCAGTGAGATGTTGGAGTGGAATGGCCAGCAATTCAGCCTGCTGGAGTCCATCAGGTCCAAGCACCTGACGGGACTCACGGTCCCATACAGTGACACTCCATGCCATCTCCCGCAGGACAATTCCCTGTACTGAGCAGCCAGGGAGGAAATGTTGGCTCTGGTGCAGAGGGAAGAACTGCAATCAGTACACTTCACCCCTGAAATCTGGAGCAGCAAGGATGGAGCAAACTGTCCCTCAGATCCCATCTCTGCATGCCTAGTTCCTTGTACACTCACATTTCACATCCAGATTCATGGTACTCTGGGATTCCTGCGACCCATCCTGGCTCCTCAAAATGCACCTCAGCATTTTCCCATGGTCATACCAGGCTGGTTCAAAACTCACTATCTTCTGGAGCATTCTGTTTTCAATGGTTGTGTTTTGTGAAGACAGGCGATTTTCCTCTAAGCCAATGATAGTCAGAGTTGCCATCTCATCAGGGCAATCATAAGGCACCGAGCAAATCAGCTTAGCTGCCTTCCCTTCTTGCGTCTCCACAGGAATGATTTCCACCTTGGGCTTTGGAGGTGACCCTGTTTCCAGAGAATGAAAGGGAAAATGCCAATCCATGTTTTGGGGAGAGCAATAAAATTAACCATGGAACATACATAGGCCCACTCTGCTTGATTTTGCCCACGAGCAGAAGCCTCGACCTAACCGGAGAGAGACCACACTATGCAAACCTGCCTCTTAGCCTGTCCTCACGTGTGAGGTCTGCTCTTTTATACAGTGCCAGATTTGAGTGTGTGTATGGGGGGGGGGCGCTTTGGGAAGGATGCTCTCCAGAGATCCACCCCCTTACTGCTGTTAATATTGCCATTTGTTTACACTTTCTCCTGTGCCCAATGCACATGGCCAAAGAGAAGGACGAGATGTCTGGAGTCGATGGCTATGACTGTTCAGTCTTTCAAAGAGGGCAGGTAAACAGGTAGCAACATGAGAAAGATGGATCAGGTCAAGAGCTTCTAGGACAGCTCTCCTCTTGTGGAGTGGGCCTCAACAGCTGTCCAGTGAAGCCCAGCCCCTAAGGACAGTACTGAATGCAGGAGAACAGAAGAGACTGAGAACATTAGAAAAGCCATGCTGCAACAGACCAGAGGTCCATCCAGTCCAGTGCTGCGTACACACAATGACAAACTAGCCACCACAGCATCCCTCAAGCAGGATGGGTGCGAGATCTCCTCCTGCCCAAGCTCCCCAGCAGCTGCTGTATGCATGCTTGCCACCTCTGGAGAAAGAGGAAGCACATAGCCAGCAAGGCTAGTGGCCACCAGTAGCCTCCGTCCTAATGACTCTGTCTAATCCCTTTTTGAAACCACCCAGATGGGAAGCCATCACTGCTTCTCATGGGAGCAAATCTCTCCTTTGGGAGACAATGTCATTTCTTCCCACCCTCTGTCTTCTGTTCTTTAACCACTTTGTGATCCATAAGAGGATCCACCCCTTTTATTCCATGACTGTTTAGCTTGCACAGGAGCCTTTGGTGAAGGCTCAAACTGTTTCTTTGCTTCTCTGATGGACCACTTGCATTTCCCTTGTGCAAGCTTGTGGTCCCATCTTATCTTCCCATTTGGGGAAGACTTCCATTTTTTTAAGAAAGCTTTCTTCTGCCTAATAGCTTCCTTGACTTTATGGTTAACCATGCTGGTGATTTCCTAGACTTCATGTTACCTTTTCTCATTTGTCGTATGCATGCTATCTGTTCCTCAGTTATAGCGCTTTTTTGAATGATCTCCAAGTGCTTTAAAGTAATTTCAACTTCTGGTTCCCCTCTTCAGCTTCTCCATTACTAGTTTCCCCATTTTGAGAAGTTTCCTCTTTTGAAATCAAACAGAACTCTTTTCAACTTCATTGCCAGTGTTCCGCCTAACCGTATATTAAATCTGACACCAGCATGGCTACTGTTACTTAATGGCTCAATAATATTTCCATCCTGGACTATGCTCTGGGCAACCCCACCTAGGACTAAATCCAAGCTGGCCTTCCCTCTGCTTGATTTCATGACCAACTGCTCTGGAGCACAATCATTTAGGACATCAAGAAATTTAACCTCTCTGTCAGAACTGGAACATGTATTTACCCAGTCAATGTGTCCGTAGTTGAAGTCCCCCATTATTACAATACAGACTTTGTTGGAGACCCCTCTGATTTCATTGCCCATCTCAAGATCACCCTGAGCATTCTTGTCTGGATACCTTCTGATTCGGTATGAAAGCATGACTACCTTTCCTGCTTATGCATGGCCATGGACTGTGGGCAGAGGTACACTGAAGACAGGTCTTTACATCCAGGAAAGGTTCCTATAGGCCAGGAATTTAGCAGCCTATTTCTCTTGACCTTGATAGGGATGAGTCTTGGGAGGGGTCCCATAGTTCAGCCATCACTCTGGATTGAAAACTACTGATCCAGATCTTGCAGATAATACTTTGAAAGCTTTTCCGTCTCAGCTGAAGCCCTACTTTTACATGGGAAGAAAAGGAATACAAGCTGCTCTGCAAAGCTCTTACCTGCAATTTTAACTGTGGCATTAAGATGCCACTTCAGTCTCCAGTTATCATTGGAATCAACAATGTATGCCGTATAGGAACCACTCTCATTCATCTGGAGTTGACTAACTATCAGGCTGCAGTCTCTGTTGCTTAAATTGCCTACAAATCTGACCAGTCCCCTAAAATCAGGACTTGTTGAGGTAATGAGATCTTCAGAGGTTTTGGAGCTGTCATACAACAGGTGGCCATTGTTTTCGCGTGGAACATTATCCTCCAAAGGCTCAAAATACCAAGCTACAGCAAGGCGATTGACCTTGCCCAGATTACACACTTCACTGATCTGGCATGGAATCAACACACAGGATCCTTTCCAGGCAGTCAGGGAACTGGGGTTTATGCTCAATGGGCTTTCATTACCTGCAATGGAAAACATATAGGATAGAAATGGTCAGCTTCACCAAAGATCATGAAGATGTGCTTCCATCTCTCAGAGCTGAAGAAGTTGTCATGGCATCAAGGTGTCATGGCATCTTCTCAACTCCTAGACTATGAGATAGAAGCTAGATTTTGTAATAATATAAAATATACCATGCACTCCATGTGAAAGCTTATATGTTGTATATGCATGCATTGGGAAGGAGCCAAAGAACCTCACACAGGGCCTGTTCGCATATCATGAGTAGCCATGCATTTTGAGTATTCAAGCCAAGTTGGGCAGGTGCCTTGTCTTGTCATGGGTTATTTAAGGGTTGAGCGACCCTTGGGAACAATCCATTTTAGGATTATTTGGAGGTTATTTAACCTGGCTTCGCATGGCAGGACCAGCTGTGGCATGCCACAATCTGCATATTCAAATTGGCCACTGACATGTGGCCCGAAGCCTTAATTTAACCTTTGCAGCTCCGTGTGCTGTGTGGAGCAACCCAGCGAGTTCTACTTGCCCAAGCAGACTTTGGATTTCCATTCTTCGAAGAGCAGTTCTTCCGCTTCTAGCCTCATGACCAGCTATTTTGGCATCTGAGGGCATTTCCAAAAACAGTTTCTGTTATGGTACGGAGCAGTGCTCAAAGGCAAAAGTAAAGTAAACATCCCTTTATGTGTCTTCTATTCCGGCACCATTAATCTGCTGCTACAGGCAAGCATATGCCGTACCTTTCCTGTGGGTTTCTTGGTTTGTTTTTCTTTTTGCAAATGTTGCTTCTCTGTGTTGATATTTCTTTTTATTCTCTCGTTTGTTCCTTGGCTCCCATCCTCTGTATTCTAGATTCACAGTGAAGGTCAGTAAATCCTATGACCCCAGATAGATGATGGTTTAAGTCTGCCTCCAAGGTTAGATTTAGAAGGAGGAAGAAAACAGAACCATTCAGACCAGCCGGTGTTGCTCCAGTACACAATGGCAATGCAACCCCAGAGTCTTTTGTATAATTTCAAGAAATTGTGTGCCTCAGCCTGTGACCTCACAGGACCTCAAGTTGTGTGCCCTTGCATTTTCTAACCCCATCTATAACAAGCACGTCATTTCTGCTATGTTTAATGCCAGCCATTGCAACCGATTTCAGTGTCTTGTGATGCTGTAGGTTCTAGTACTCATTCTCAATGCATATGGGTTTCTATACCTTTCAAATTCCAAGGTGGATTTTGAAAGCAAACTTTCCAGGAACAAATGGAATTGAAAATTATTTAATTACAGATGCTATGCAAAAGTCATTCCAAGCAAACATTTGTATGAGTGGATAAAATCAGCTTTTTCGAAAGGGAGGCAAGATCTTCCATTTGAAGAGATGGGGGTTCCACAATCTGATCATGAAGAGGCCATCCTTACTCTCACTTCACAAATGTAAGCACATTTCAGATGCCAAATGCATCGAGGAGCTGATAGATGAAGTACAGATTAGGGGAGCTCTGGATGCGAGTGATCACTCCATCCTTTGCTTTGAGATCAGGGGACTGGGGACATGCAGCAGGTCGAGCACTAGAAGCTGGGACTTCAAGAGGGCCAACTTTGGCCAACTGAAGGCCAGACTGGGGAAAGTCTCCTGGGATAGGTTACTGGAAGGTAAGCGAGTTAAGGAGGGGTGGA